CACCAATTGACTGATGAAGGGAACCACCCGTGCCCTAACTGACAGCCGTGACGCTTCCCCTCCTCACATGGTATCTGCAGTACTTCCAGCGCTACCTTGGGCTCGAATGCTGGTGGATCTTTCAAGGACGTGTCGGGCGGTTACGGCACGGCGCACGGTGTTTCATGTTCTGTGGGCTCCTGCGACGGCATCTCCCCCGCGACGGCGGCCGAGGAGCGCCGCGTGGCGGAGCGTCGAGCCTCGCTGCAGCAAAGGGGCCGATGCCTCCGCACCAGCCGGACATCGCGGAGCAGATTCCCGCGGCCTGGCCCCGTCCGATGACGGGGGAGCCGGGTGAGGATGGAGCCTCCGACCGGGGGGTGGCCGATGCCTCCCTCTTTGGTCCCAGCGGAGCTGCTTCAAGGGGAGGGGGGTGGTCGGCTCCTCCGCGGCATCCGAACCCAGCCCCCAACGCTTGGGAGGGGCTCATGGTTCGTGCGGGGCCCCCTGGGAGCAGGTGGCCGATGCCTCCGCTGGCGCGGCGTGGACCGATGCCTCCAAGGAGGACCAAGGAGGTCAGCGTCACACGATCCGTCGCAGCACCATTGATGAGGAGTTCGACCCTTTCGACCTACTCGGTCTTAGCGCCGAGCAACTGGCGGTGGGAGCTCCTGCTCTACCTGATGATGCTCCCATTGCTGCAGGTCGCAGTGGACAAATCGGCGTTGGCAGCCCATGACTCCCAGAACAGGCTCCTATCCTGTGGTAAGTCGAGCTGGGCGCCAATGCTGATGTTTGCTGCACGACAGTAGGACGGGGGGTCCCAGGCAGCGCGGTTCCTGCGTGTCACAGCCGATGCCTTTGTGGACGGCGCGGAGCGCAGCTTGGACAAGGATGGGTGGAACGCGTCAGCCTGTCACAGCACGTCCAAAGGTAAGGGAGGACCCCCGGGGGGCGAGTGGATGTTGGCTACGAAGAGCTTGGCCACCGCTTCCTGTGGCGGAGCTCGTCGGGCCTCGGTCGCGAAAGAGCAGAAGGGCCCCTTTCCGAGACGCTCAGCCCTCACGGGGCACCTCTCCTCGGACAATGACTTAGTGGTCGGTTTGTGTTTGCTTCCTGGGCTTGGCACGTCTGGGTCTGCCAGCTCAGACCTCGTAGCGGTCAGCGCGTGCGTGAACGGATTGGCCGGCCCGTGGGTCATTGTTGGGGGTTGGAACCTCACTCCAACCTCCATGGCCAACACGGGATGGCCCGAGAAGATGGGAGGTCGCATTGCCATACCCGACAACTGTGACACCACGTGCTACAAAGCAGCTGCAAGTAGTTTAATCGATATCGCCGTCGCCAGGTCTGAATACGCTCATCGCATCGGCATCTCGGGGCGTTTGCTGCTGCAGGGTGGGAAACTCACATCGGTCCGCAGGTTATTCTGCAAGGTGCTGCACAGGCCTGGTGGCTCAAAAGCTCGACGCCGTTGAGCCCCTGCCCAGTCCAGGCCGACCTGAGAAGGCTGCCGACCCCGACAGTCAGCGGTCTAAGCAGCGCGATGCGGCGTTAGTCAAGAGACGGGGGGCTCTTTCTCCAGACCGTCAGGAGGACTTTCATTTGATGCATGGTCCTGGGGAGCATACACCCTGCGAAATGCTTAAGAAATCATGGGTTAAGAAATTCAGAGTCTCAGAACTGGAATAAAAACCCAGAACTTCTATCAAAATCTTGGGATTTTTGAAATGTTAAGAATAATCAAGACTCTGGCCGAAAACTTAGGTTTTCTTAAGCATCGCCTAAGGTGTACCGCTGCCCAGGGGCCTCGGGTTGAGCAATGTGTTTCCAGCGAGCCTCGGGCGGAGTGTGCGAGGGCAGCACGGTGCTCCCGAGCCGACCCAGGCCTGCCAGGAGGCGCGTTATTGCTACGAACTGCAGACTCGCAGCGCAGCGGGGGTCAACCTTGGTTCTGCTCGGTGCGCCAGAGGGGTAGCCAAAGTCGAGCTGGCTGCTCACCTGCAGCAGGGTCCCAGCGTTTCCCCCCGTCCGATGCCTGGTCCCGCTGCTTGATGTTCGGTTGCTGGGCAGGCGCCCAGAGCTACGCCTAAAAGAACACCCACACCCGGGGCAGTCTTCACACGATCCTGGAGCGCTGGCTTCGTCCCATCGGGCACGGCAGGGACGCTCCTCGTGCCATCCTGGGGTTGGGCAGAGCTGCATGGCTTGAAGATATATCTGAGATTACCCTGGATCGACTTCAGGCGGCGGTTAGCTCTTTGCCTGTGGAAGATCGGGAGAGAGAGACGGGCATGCGCCCATGGACCTTATGAGGCTTCCCCCCCTGGGCCAGGCCGAGTTCGTCGAGCTTCTCGCCTCTGCAGAGAGGACAGCGCTGGTGGCCCACCCCGCTGCTTTCCAAGGTCGGCGCGCTGTTGCCGAAACGCCGAGGGGGGCGAGAGGGCCATCGGTCTTCTTGCCTGAGTCGGCCAAGACTCAGTCGCGAATGAAGTACGGCCGCACCTCCCTGGAGCCCCAGGGCCTCGGCGACGTGTGGGGCACCGCGACTACGGGGAGTTCAGTCCTGCAGGCCTCGATCGCGCGGCCTCTCCTCGACGGAACGGCGGCGTGTCTGAGATTAACAGTGGCCACGCTGTTGTTTGACCCTGAAGAATATGACAAAGCGCCCTGGGCGCTGTTAGATTGGGGGTTCCCGCTATTGCTACGAGCCACGAGAGTCAGCGTTGCGCTGCTCCCCTCAGGGTAAGAGGTCAACAAAGGGCCACGCAGCCAGTTGTCCCCACCCGCTCGCTTGTGGCGGGGTCTCCTCACGGGGGGGCAGGGCAGCCACAACATGTTTGCACCCGCTGTCGGATGATGCTCAAAAGGGCGACATGTGCTTCTAGCTGGACACTTATTGATGGCTGTGTTGCGCGTGGAAGGCGCGGAAACTGTGGTGGGGCAAAGCATCTTCGATTCGTCTGGCAAGACTGCGTTAGGCCGAGGGATCCGAATTGCGGTCAAACTCAGGGACAGGGGCATCCCCGTCACACTCGCCAGGACGGGAGTTGATCTCGGCGCAGGTGTCAGCGCTGGCAAATTCCGCTCCAAAGGTTCTAAAGCTGATAGCCGCAGAGCAGCCAGCAGCTTCGGGATCAGGCAGAATGCGTCGTTGAAGAAGCGCCTCAAGGTTCCTGGTCTATTGGCGCCCTTCCCCAGCGCACGCATGCCCATCAAGCGCAAGGGCTTGCGCCCAGTAATGTGCTTAGGCTGCGCAGGCAGGCCGCGTCCTCAGCGCGCGGCTAGGTCCCAGGCTGGCGCCTCACCACGGCACTGGAAGCCAAGTTCGTCTCAAAGGATCCTGGGGTCGAGGCAATTCGTTTCGGAGTCTTTGGTCTGCTGGCACAAGCACCCCGGCATCGCGCTAGGGTTCAGGAAGGTTTTTGGGGGGTGTCTCTCCGTCGCCTCAAGCGCACTGGCCGCGGCAACCGACGCAGGGCCCGAGGGCCTGTCTCTGAAGAGCCCTCGGGACACACAAATAAATAGACACAAATGACAGGATTCCCCATATTTTCCTATATTTTCTTGGTTTTTGTCTTCCCCCCAATTCCCATAGTTTCCCATGTTTTCTGGGGAATCGCCGATAAATTGTGTCTGTGTGTTTTTTCCCCTCCTGAGTCTCGGCCGTCCAGGCCACCGTGCTTGATGCAGGATTCCAGGATGGGATCCGAGGGATGCTTCCGCCCGGCAGCGTCGCACTCTTGGCGGTCTTGTCGAGGACTGGTCGACCCCCGCCTCTACAGAGCCAGGCTCTGACCCGTTGGATGTTGATGTTTCTGAGCTCCTGGGGGACCCGTGTTTGGATCTTAGGTCTCGGCCCTGGGCTTCGGCGCCTCAGCACGAGGCGGGCTCGGGTTCGAGGGGCGGGGGCGATATCTATCTATCTCCGCCGCGAGATGGCTCGTTCATCCAAGGAAGGGGGCATAGCGAAAACGGGCTCACCACGGCTGTGGTTGGAAGCGCCTGGTGACCTCGAGTCAGGCGCCCCCCCCTTGGCTCTCCACAGGACCAGCTGTGCCCCGGCTGCCAGAAGTGCCCCGAGACTTTCATGCATCGCGCGTGGCTGTGCGGGGCCAATGCTGACCATGAAGATCACACACCAAGATAGGCAGCGTAGTCACGCAGGTGTTGGTCAATGCCGACTCCTCCCCTGGGCTACGGCTCAGAGGGGCTGCTCCTGTTGGGCCCACCCGCCCGACCTCTCCGGACTCAGGTGTTACGACGAGCCTCGTTAGCGTGAGCGAGGCTTCTCTCGCAGAGTGCTGTGAACCTGGCTCGGCCACGGCTATTTTGGGAGATGGGTCGGGAGGTCGCCTTTCGTCCTCCGTGCGTCGCGAAGCTCTCCGGGGCAATGAGGGGCGCGTCCGGGGCGGAAAACTCCACCGGGGCGGGCGCCAGAAAACCCCATCAGGGTGACGAAGAAGGAGGACGATGAAATCACTGGGAAAGTACGGCAAATTCACTCGTCCTGATTTGGTGCGGGCCAGGGTCCGTTGTCATCTCCCGGAGCTCGCAAGACGGGTGGCAAGCTCTCGGTGGGGCGTCCGCGGGCCTTGCTGGCCCCACTCTCGGACTGCTTTCCGCGGTGCAGAACTGCCCGCCCCGGCTCCGGCCCTGTAGGGCTCGAAGGGCTCTCTTCGATTTGGTCACTGTTCACACGCCTCGTCTTTTCGGGTGGGACGTCTTCGGCACCGCCTGATCCCGAGGCTTTGCCTCCTCCTGGCCTGACCGTGAGGCCTCTCTTTGTACCCCCCCCCCTCTTTGTTAATTCAAGCTTCGCGCGGCCCGCTTAGCTTCGACCGGAAGAGGTGCGCTCTCGACCCGCGAATCAAAAAAGTCTTTTCGGGTGGGAGGGGAGCGGGGGGGGGGGTCTCGCGTTCGTGACGGGCGGGACGGGGATGCGCGGTATCCGGAGGAGACTCCCGGGAGCCGCGGGGAGGGCGAAGTCCTTGTGTTGATTGGGCTCCCTCTGGCACTGATCACGAGGACCCCGGTCTGAGCTCGCACGGGAAATTTCGAGCATCGGACACCGCAGCCGCGAGGCTACCGAGCGTGACTGGGCGGCAGGCCTCGATGACGCTGCGCCCGCCACGGATCAGCGGGATGCCACCGCCGCTCTCGCTGGGAGGCCAGGGCGGAGCGCCCTCGCTGATGATGTTGCTGCTGATCCCATCGGAGGCAGGAACACTCTCGAGGCTCCTGGGAGGGTCCGTTCAGGCACCGAGCGGGACAAGGCTGCCCGTGCCAGCGCCCACTGCACTGCGAAGTGCGAGGCGAAGAACCGCGGAAGCGAACACACGTGCACGAACGGTCTCAGACACCAGGCCGACGGGTCGCGCACCAAGTGAGACAGCAGACACCCACGGGCCCAGGGACCGACACAACCACAGCCATGGCCACTTCTGTGCCCTCCTCTCCTCCTCCTCCTGCGCCTCCTCCTCCTCCTCCTCCTCCTCCTCCTCCTCCTC